AAAAAAGACACACAAAAAAAAAAAAAAAAAAAAAAAAAAAAAAACATAGATCAATGAAACAAAGTGAAGACCCAAGTGTGAGTACATGGAATTTCAGCCACCTGATATTTGACAAAGGGGCCAAGAACATTCATTGGAGGAAAGACAGCATGTTCAGCAAATGGTGCTGGCAAAACTGGATCTCCACCTGCAGAAGAATGAAACTAAACCCTTATCTTTCACCTTGCACAAAAGTCAATTCCAAATGTATCAAAGACCTCAATGTAAAGCCTGAAACTCTGAAACTATTAGAAGAAAATATTGGGGAAAACTTACAAGATATAGGCATAGGAAAGGATTTTCTAAACAGGATATCAATTGCTCAGGAAACAAGGACAAGAATTAATAAATGGGACCAAATTAAACTAAAAAGCTTCTGTATATCAAAGGAGACAACCAAGGAAGCAAACAGAAAACCCACAGAATGAGAGAAAATCTTCACCAGCGACACAGCTCACAGAGGTTTAATAACCAGAATTTATAACAAACTCAAAAAACAGAGAACTAAGACAAGAAGCAACCCAATTAAAAGATGGGCTAAGGAACTGAACAGAGAGTTCTCAAAAGAAGAAGTAAAGATGGCTATGAAACATCTTAAAAGATGTTCAACATCACTAATAATCAGGGAAATGCTAATTAAAACCACTTTAAGATTTCACCTTACCCCAGTCAGACTGGCTAAGATCAAGAAAACAAATGATACCAAATGTTGGAGAGGATGTGGGGAAAGGGGAACACTCATCCACTGCTGGTGCGGCTCCAAACTCTTTCAGCCCCAAGGAAGGCAGTGTGGAGAACTCTTTAAAAACTACAAATGAACCTACCATTTGACCCAGTTATATCACTCCTAGACATATACCCAAAAAACTCATGCTATTGCGGAGACATTTGTACATCCATGTTTGTTGCTGCTCTTTTCACAATAGCTAAGAGATGGAAGCAACCTAAGTGTCCCTCAATTGATGAGTGGATAATGAAAATGTGGTTCATGTAAACGATGGAGTTTTACTCAGCAGTAAAAAAAGATGAAATCATGAAATTTGCAGGTAAATGGATGGAACTAGAAACTGTTATACTAAGTGAAGTAACACAGACTCAGAAAAAAAAAAAATCGACATATGTTCTCCCTCATATGTGGATCCTAGAACCAGACTCTGATAAATAAGTATGCAACCAGACATAACTATAGGAACCAGGATAATGGAAAGGAACCAGGGAGGTAAAGGAAAAGAAAGAACCTGAAGGAGAACAGTAGGAAACAGGTCTTAATAAGGGAGATATGGATAAAAATTGGGTTAATGTAAGCAGTGGAGAGGTGGGGAGGGTATACAAGGAACCTAGGGGATAAAGGGAAAGAAGGAGCTCCAGAGAGGTAGGGCTATAGTAGAAGTGTATTCATAAGGAAGAAGGGAAGGAAATGGGGGCACCTTAAGTGGGAAAACCATGATGGAGGGGTGAGACAATGTGAGAGATAAACAATGCCTAGC